ATTTTAAAATTCCAAAAGAAATACTAGTGGTATTTCACTTCTCAAAACATTGTTCTAATTATTTCGTACAAGAATTTTTTCTTTCTTTACTCCTCTTTAGTTTTAGTATATTAAAGGGATTTTTAAAAACCACAGATTATAAGTTATATAAAATCACTCTCTAATGGACAATTCTAAACATCGAGTATTACTATAAAAGAGTAAATGTCGATTTGCGTCATGTTCCCCCAGCCTAAACCATAAGACCTAAAATTCTGGAAAAAATTGGGTCTGAATCGTGTGTTAGAGGAGGTGTGCACTAAGAAAGGATTTTTTAAAATTCGGCTCCTAAGGACTCTCAGGACTCTCGAAAAATGCAAAATTGGTTGATTAAAACATCAACCATTCCCACAGTTTTTAACCAAACAAGTTGATATTTTTTTTTAAGCTTTGTTTGTGGAAATCTTTGAAAGCCCAGAAGATGAGCCCCCACCGACTTCCGGTTGGGGCACTTAATTAATTTTTCCGCACCGATTATGCGATCGCATCCGTTTTTGTTTTAAAGTGCGGAGCTATGCCATACAATTAGTAAGGTATTTTTTTTTCGTTTTTTGGACCCACGGTTGATTTTATATGATCCTTTTTGTTTGCGCGGGTTGCGGGGGGCCTCTTTGGCAGCACGTTGTTTTTGTTTTTCGCAGCACTCACGAGCGTCAGCAAAAGCAGAGCGAGAGAGTAGTGAGCAGAGAGAGAGTCACTTAAAGCGAAAGAGACGCCGCCAATGTTATTTTTCTGGCTTAGAAACACCTGATAAAATTTTTACTATTTGGATACCAGAACGGATTATCTAATGGATGCAATTCTAAGTCAAAGTGTGTAGCCAACCCATTAAATTCATAAGGAATTTTTGTTTTGATTTCAAAAACATTTTGGATTGGCTTTCAAGGGAAGAGCAGGGAAAAACTTTCAGTCGTCACATTTGCATGTGAGAAACGCAATGACACACACACACATCGATAAATTGTCATGTACATACATAAGTATGTAATGATTAAATTAGGATAAAATAACGGATCACCCAATGCAGCCATTCTAAATCAAATATTTTGCAAAAATTTAAATTATGTTAAAGACGAGGGGCGCACGACGAAAATTGTTGACAAATTTCGTCTCCAAAATTACACCTACTGTTTTCACCCAAAAGAGTTGGAGCTTTAGGTGCTTTTTTTAATTTTCCTCATTTCCCGAAATATTTAACTCCAGCTGTTGATCCCCAGCCGACATTGGGGCACTTCTTTTTTTGTTTACCTACCGATCCTGCGAGCGGATCCGTTTTTCGCTTAAAGCATTTTGGCCGTAGCCTTTCATAGGTATTTGTGTGTTATTTCTTATATATTCTTTTTTATGTTTTTAAGGTTTTTGGGGGTTAGATCTGTTCAAAATAAACGGTAAAAAAGAGTAAAAGTTTTTCTCTGCATTCGCTTAGCTAACCAAATCTATAAAATTAAGTTGCGATTAAGGAGGTATTAGATAGATTAGGGTAAAAGAACTGTAAGGGAAGGGTGAAGGTGAGAAAGATAAAGTTCGTTTGGACTTTAGTGAGGATAAGGTCAAGGTGACAAACAAGTTTTACTAAGAAAAAGTGAAGTTAAAGTAAGTAAGTATAGTAAGGAAAATTTGTTTTCAGGTGAGACTCAAGTTAGGTTAGCTAAGAAGAGGAAAAACTGGTGCTAAGATGGGTTAAGACTAGGAAATAGTGAAAACAGCATTAAGGTGCTAAAAAAGTGTGCCAAGAGTTAGAATAAAATAGGTGGGGTTAAGGTGAGGTAATATTAGGGTTAATGCGGTGTTAAGGTAAGGTATGTTATGGTAAGAAGGATTTGAATATTAGTGCGTTATAGGTGGGTTTACTGTTTAGCTAAGGTTACGCGGGATTTTACTCTGATATTAATTTGAATTTGAATATACAAAAAAATCAGCAATAAATGCATTGCTAACAGTAGCGGACAACGTCGCTTCGGGTATTGCTAGTAACTCTATAAAATAAAATAATAAGAAAGCTAGATATAATTAAAATTATATTTCAAAGATACTAAAGATTCTTTATTTAATATATTAATTTATTTACAATTTATTTAATCTTTAGGTATCTATAACAGATATTAATATTCAGTTTTTCCGCTGTGTAGTGCGGCATTTCGTGGTGGTGCTGCTGGTGGTGCTGCCACTGGTGGTGATGGTGCATCCCCATAGGGCCATTGACTAATAGGATTTGAAGAGCGTAAAATTGGTTCGTTGTGAACATGAAATATGCAGTAAATCCTTTTGCGCCCCGCTGCCGTCCGTGTTTTCCTTTAATATTTGCTGCAACGTTGTTGCAGCTTAAATATTCTTACCCCGACAGCAAGGTCCTGACTTCTGCTCTGTTTCCCCTTCCCCTTCCACATTCCCTTTCTGGCCTTTTCCCTTTTCCATGGAGGCCAATGCACGCGCAGTTTGTTGCAATTTCGCGGTTCGATTTACCCCCAACTTCGACCCACCCCCACTTTTCCAACGTTGTCGTCGTCGTCTCGGCGCGATGGTGTGTTTTATTATCACAAATAAAGCGCAATCACTGTTGTGGCACCCGCTTCTTGCGCCCAATCCCACCCAATTTTCCGCTTTTCCAACGCTTTTCCGCCCGCTTTCAGCCACCGAAGGAAGCCCAAGCAAGCATTGCATTTTTCATGTCTGGATTTCGTTCGTGTGGCAGCCTGAAATATTGCAAATAGTTTGGCTCCTTCTCAATTGCGTGAAATATGAAAAACCCCGGGAAAATTTGTAGCAAAAGCAAAAGCCTCGCCGCTGCAGCGGCAATGCACTCCAGATTTACTTTTCATTCCGCTGCCATTGCAGTATCCTAATGTTTGCCTCTTTAATTGTCCCTGTTGCTGCAAATGGCCGGGCATTTGTTTTCATTACTGCCAGGACAGGGCAGCCCAGGACGAACTGGACCGGAGAAGGACCAGTTCTCAAGACAAGCTGAAGCTGGGGGGTAATTTGGGTACACTGGGGATAAAGGGCCACAAGTAGAGCAATGGATCTTATTCCGGACTTAAAAGGGTTTTAAAATGGGTTTCGACTCGGAACCGCAAATAAATAAATTTAAAGCATGGAAAAAAACAAAGAGATTTAAGCAAAAATATATTTTATTTTCCTGAAGATGTTAGAACTATGAAGCTGTTTCTTTTGAGAAATCTGGAAAATCAAGACTTTAATGTTATTTTTAAATAACAGTTTTTTGCCGTTTTTTGGCTGTAACTTTGTCAATAATGTCAAAATCACAATTTTTTGGGTAGAAAATCAGCACTTTGGTTTTTGCTAAAAAAGACATTGTCGTATTATTTTGCTATTAATTTGTAAATTTGTCTTTTAAATCAATCTTTACGGTCTTTAAAATTACTATAAGTAATTCTATAATTGTATAATATTCCGCTGATATTGCACATTATGCAAAATAATTCCTAGTATTATGACTTTTTCTTCAGTGTAACTGCCATGGCTGGCGACAGCGATAATTGTGAGCCGTATTTATGCAGTCCTTAAAGAGGCCGCTCCTCGATGCGAATGCCCGGGAATCCCTTCTAATGCCGCTCAGCCGGCTGCCAAGGACTCTTGCTGGCCATCTTACGGCTAAGCTGCCTCAAGACTAAGTCTCCTCCGCTGCCCCCATCGTTCATTCAACTGCAGCTTGGCTGACTTCCGGCGTTGCCTTTTATGATAAATTGAAACAAATAGCCACCAACACCAGCTCACACGGAGGCACAGGACCTGGCTTATCAGAAAATTGCGCTCAGCTGTTTATGAAAGCATAACAATGTTAGCTGCCCCGGCCATTTCAGAGCTCCATCTACAGCTCCAGTTGGAGGTCCAACCTAGGGCCAACATCAACATGATCATCAAACTGAATGGCTGCCCCTGCTACTAAAGTCCTGTAGTCCTTACACTCATTCCACTCTTTAGCCTGGCTTGCTGGCTGGCCGTCGCAGCACATAACTCACAAGTAGGATAAACAATTTACTTATCGCCACTGCAGCCACGCCAGATGGAGTTGGTAGTGGGAGTAGCTTCTTACCCGGACCAAGACCAGGACCAAGATTCAGTCTCCGTCTGAGACGTTGCCACATCAGCGCGCCACATTGGCAAATAAATCATAATAAATAACTTGAAAAACGAAACACCTTTGCGCACAAAAGTTGCACGTCCTGTTTCTGGCAAGCCGTACGAGTAAAACTTTTTACTGGGCCAAGATGGTTAGTTCAAGGAGGATCATATCAGTCTTGTGGAAGAAGTTTAGGTTGCCAAGTGCAGCGATAAGGCGTGAAAACATAAAGAGGTTTAAATAGGGAGTTTTTCTATAACAAAAAATCAGTTATTTTAGAAAAAATGTTTAAATCAAATAATTTTTCAATAGAATGAAAATAGTAGCTTCTGTTTCATGAAACAAACTTATAAAACAAATTCAGAATTACCGAAAATCTTACTAATTATACTCTAAAAATTCGTGGTTTAATGTCCTTTTCTCTGAACTTATTCTTCTCCTTAAATTGTATTTTTTAAACATTTTTATCCTTTTCTAAGTGCATTCCAACTTCGGCTTACCATTTTCCTTCAATTCCAATACATTGTATTTCCCGTTTCCGCTGTCAGTTGGTTTCTGTATTAGTGGCTGCTTACAGTTTAGCACTTGGCCAACTTGCAGCGGGAAAGAGACAGGCAAAGGCGAAGGCCGGGCTCAATTCCTGCAACTGGTGATAAAAATTGATACATAACTTGCATAAATCAGGCGCCTGCCACGCATTACGCATACGCCATGTGAGCTGGCGGGGCGTCATTTATTAAATTAGCCACAGCATTAGCCACCCCAGGTAATTTGTAAATTTCTGACAGATGCGCTGATAAACTCATTGCAGAGATTTCTTTGTGAGCCAACGGTCGGGATGGTTGGGCGTTCGGGTGATTTGTGATTTATGCGGGTCTTATTACGGCTGCCTACATAACAATACTTTATTCGCAATACTTGGGGCCAAACTTAACGTAACATCACAAGGGAACGGGTACGGGAATGGCAACGTGAATCGATTGCCGGGAAGGCAATCCTTCGAAGAAGCAGCAGTTCGCCGTTCGCAGGTCTCGAGGATTCAGGGATTCGGGAGTTTCAAGGATTTCAGGGCGCCGTCTCCGAGCGTCTGAGCCTGGTTAACTCCGGATGGGATGACAGCCTGTCGTCCTTCTCCGCCGCCGGCGGCGGTTTCGGCAGACTGAAGAATTTCTGTAAATTAAATTTGTGAAAAATGAAATTAGGCTACGGCTGCTTTGCATAATTTAGATTATAAATTAGATGTGCCAGCAAAACTCCAAGGTGGCTCATTGCTCATGAACCGGAAGAAGGTTGAAGAACTCTTGCCACTTTGGAGAAAGTAATTACAGTGAAATTGCCTCTTCTGCTTTTATACTTAGTTGAAAGTTGGCTTACAAGATCTTTGAATTTATTTATCCCTGTCTGTTGGTGCACTCAGTTTTGTTACCTTTTAATTATTATAAATATGTAAAGAAAAGTATAGTTTTTATTTTAAAAACGAGAGTTCCCATATATAAAAAACGGCTTTAAAATTTAAATATCCGGAAAAATTTTGCCTATTTCAATTATTGCTTTTCATTTTAGATTTCAGTTTAGATTTTCATTTTACAATTTTTTGGTTTGATTGATTAGTAATTATTCAAACAAAAAATAAATGAACAATTTAATTAACTGAATCAATTTTTTTTAATAGTTTAGTAGTCAAATAAAAATATTTCGACTCTTCAAATAATATACGCGTTCAATTTGTACCCCAATTGCCAACATTTTTTTTGCCACATAACACACCCTAAGAAACAAAGTAAAAAGGGAGCCCTGATTGCACTCACATCGTGTTTGCCAAAGTGTCCCGCCTCCTCCATGGTGTCCGGCAGCTTTTTGTGCAGGGTCTCCGGCAGGAAGAGCGCCCCGATGCCGCCCAGCAGGAAGAGGACGCCCAGGATGTAGTACGGCGCCCGGATGTCCACGGTGGTGCCCAGGTAGACCAGGTACGGGGCCAGCACTCCGATGGCGTTGGCCAGGATGGTGCCCAGGGCCACGCCCGTCTGCCGCATGCACGTGGGATAGATCTCCAGGCACTGCAGGTTCACCGTGAAGAAGGTGAGGGCGTTGAGGAACTTGATGAACGTGGCCAGGTAGATCATCAGGCTCTCGTACCGCTCGTCCGTCGCGTACACAATGATGGGCAGACAGGTGACGAACGAGATGAGGAACGATACCGAGTTGGTGAAGCGCCTCCCATACGTATCGCCTGGGAAAGTGGAGAGAAAAGACATTCCCGGTGATGGACTGCTCCAATCAGCGTGGCGTCACGCCCCGCAGCACTCACCCATATGACGGCCCACCACGTAGGCGGGGATCTCCACTATGCTCTGGTACAAAAAGTTCAGGAACGGATTGCCCGCCATGCGGGAGCTGAAGAGCACCAGCGTGAAATAGGAGACGGCCACCACGCACCTGCAAACGGAGTGAATCGGCAGTTAGACATGCAAATTGCTTTCGGTGTGAAATCTCCAATGCAGTGAGGAAAATTACTGGAATATCTTGAATTTTTACTTTAAATTGAGAAATAAAATATTTGAGAATAAGAAAACCATAATATGAAAATCCTCTTTGGAGTTTAAATATTAGTAGACCCTTTTATATTTAATTTAACTTATTTTTAAGATATCTACGCCCTTTTTTAATCAAATTATTAAAACATTTATGTAAGTAATGATTTCATCTCTAAACTTGAATTTTTCCCCCAGTTCATCCCCATTTCTCACCAACTGAAGCCCATGATGATGGTGTTGCGGGCCAGCCGCCAGCCAGCAAAGAGCGATGCGATGCCGTAGGTGACGTCCTGCTTGTCCCGACTGTAGATCTCGGCCAATTCCTTCTCGGTCATGTCGAAGCGATGGCCGTTAATTTTGGCTATCTTCTGCAGTTGCACAATGGCCTCGCGGAAGCGCTGCTTGCTAATCAACCAGCGGGGCGATTCGATTACGTATCTGTGGGAAATTCACGATTATTCGAACTGAACTGAGATTTATGGGAAGCTTTAAAAAGGGGTGATGGCTTTCCTGGGCAAGGAGATGAAATGGCTCTATATTTGCTGGCAAACTTTGTGATTACTTCTCATGCGAGGGGGTGGCGGAACTTAAGAAATAATTAATGTCACAGCAGAAACGTGGAAGGTTATTAGATTTGGGCGCTGGGCTCTGACTGCGTGACTTACTTGGAAAAGAGCAGGACCATCGCTGTGGGTATCGAGGTGAGCCACATGAAGGAGTCCCAGTGGCGCAGCCACCAGTACAGCAGGGGCATCAGGGTGGTGCCGATGGACCAGCCGCAGCTCTGGAAGAAGGCAATTCGACTGCGGTCCTCCCTGGACATTTACAGTGAATAGAGAGTGTGGGGTCAGCAATAAAAGTTGGACAGAAAAGAAAAGTAAGTTTGGGCAGAACTTACTCCCGCGAGATCTCCATGCCGATAATTTGGGGCGATTGGAAGAGGCTGTTCACGGTGAGGCCCACGATGCCGGACATGATGAGGAACCACGTGTACGAGCTGGTGCACATGATGGACCCCAGGCGTCCCAGGGAGCAGAAGACCACGCTGATGTAGTACACGAACCTGCGACCATAGCTGACACGGCCAAGTGGACAAATTCAATTACCGGCGCTGCCATAACTTAGTTAGGCGACTTGCAAGTCGCGCTACTTACGAGTCGCCCATTTGTCCCAATATAAATGAGCCGGCCACCTCCGTCACACGACCCACCACGAACACATTTGTCACGAACAAATCCTTGGCGCACACCCAGTGGTGGTCCGTGGGGATGGTGCTCTCGTACCAGGTCTTGTCGTAGCTCCAGCCGTTCTGGCAGGCTGAAAGGACGAGTGGGAGTTCGAAATGGAATAGGTGGAATATATGGGGTAGATGGGGGGCGCTCGTAAAATGCATTCGAGTGCAAAGTTGCAAATATTTATAAGAAGACAGCGGGAGGGGCGGCGAAATGCCAAGTAATTTCACCACTAATCCGGCAAACGTATGTATTTACTCTATCTTCAAAGTTGTTTGATGGAAACGGAAAACGGGGAGCGGGATGCCAATAAATATTTGCCAATAAGCCCAGCACTTGATGTGGTTTAAGAGGAAGTTAACACAAATAAATAAATGCATATATAACGAACAAGAAGGCATATGGCGCCTATGGCGCTTTTAATTGGACTACTTAATTTTCTTTAAAATTCCTTTTTTAATGATTTAGGAACAAAGGAAAAATCGATCTACCTATTTAGATATGCTTTTAAGAATTGCCAAAATTATTTTTCTTCAAGTAATTTAATATTTATAATTTTGTATAATATTTAACTCACTTGTTTTTGTGCGGTTGCTGCTACTCCAAGCAGACCAGTCCGTGATCTCTGAAAAGTTCGCCTGGTACATCTCACAGTTGCTAAACGTCTCCCTGCCTCGGTTGTCGGCCTGTCTATTTCAAAACTGGATTCAGTTTAATGCACTTTTAAAGCAGACCTCCCACTTACTTAGGCAGGACGATGTCTCGCCATTCCTCCAGCGTAAAGTTGGTGTTCTCCCTACCCGGGACGGTGCACCAGTGATCGGGTATGTTGAGAGCCAGGATGATATTCATGTAGATCATGGCACCGCTAAAGGCCAGGCCGCCGACAAACAGGAAATTGTAAAGGGTTTGATAGCGGCCATGGTTGCCGGCCTTCTCCATCAGCGCCTGGAAGGGATCGTTGAACTCCGAATCGTCAACGTCCATCTGGGAGAAATGTCCCGAGACCTGGGAGGCCTTACGGCTGTTCGCCTGTTCCTTCTTGTCTCTCATTTTGTACTACCCGTACTCCAAGTGGCTGTGCCGTAGTCCCCAGTCAGTCGTAGGGCCGATAAGCAGAGTAATCTTTATGGCATCTGGTTCGCAGAACGAAGATCTGATGTGGAGATTGCTCGAGTTCTAACCAGACACTTTTGGCCACGCCAGTTGGCGCCAATCCGTCGTTAAAATCTTCAAATTATGAATATAAAAACTCATTAAGTCATATATGATTTGTTTGTTTGCGAGGCATAAACTCATTCATGATTATAAGCAGCTCTAAACTTGTGGCCATAATTTTCTAATTAATAAATGATTGTTTACTGGGAGAATGGAACAGCACTTAGGAACTGCTTGATTAACAAATTAATTTATTTTGTTTGAGGAATGAAATGTTATCTTCATAAGAGTCAAAATCTGCCAAGTGGGCCACCCCTGTTCCGAAGGTCCGATTTTCATCGAACTTTTTTACTTTTCCGGTTCACAACGAAAATATAAGAACTTCATTTGAACGGTTTTGCGAAATTTTGAGTTTTGCCGGAGTTATAGGGGTCAAAACATGGCATTTTTGACACTTTTTCGAAAAAGTTGCACTCAGTCATTAATTCATAACTTCGGAACGGTAAGAGATATCTTTATGATGTTTTCACTAATCGCTCAAGAATTATTATGACTTTCCATAAAAAAATGTAAAAAAAATTAAAATTTATTTTTCTTAAAAATAAATCAACATTTTTTTAGTTTTTATTTTTTTCAGTGTTCTTCACCAGCTATAGAGTTTAAAACCATTTGAAAATAAAGTTTGATTCATTACGAAAAAGATCCAAAAAAAAAGAGTGGCCCGGCCAAAGGTTTTTCGCAATATCGATTTGAAGAAGGGCGCACAGCGGTTTTCCATACAAAAACGGCTTGCTCGCGAAAATTGGCTGGTCAACACATGCCGTTGCGCGCGTAGCGTCAGCCGACTGCAGCTGTCAATGAGGCACTTTTTGTCGTTTTGTATGGAAAACCGCTGTGCGCCCTTCTTCAAATCGATATTGCGAAAAACCTTTGGCCGGGCCACTCTTTTTTTTTTTGGATCTTTTTCGTAATGAATCAAACTTCATTTTCAAATGGTTTTAAACTCTATAGCTGGTGAAGAACACTGAAAAAAATAAAAACTAAAAAAAAATGTTGATTTATTTTTAAGAAAAAATAAATTTTAATTTTTTTTTACATTTTTTATGGAAAGCCATAATAATCCTTGAGCGATTAGTGAAAACATCATAAAGATATCTCTTACCGTTCCGAAGTTATGAATTAATGACTGAGTGCAACTTTTTCGAAAAAGTGTCAAAAATGCCATGTTTTGACCCCTATAACTCCGGTAAAACTCAAAATTTCGCAAAACCGTTCAAATGAAGTTCTTATATTTTCGTTGTGAACCGGAAAAGTAAAAAAGTTCGATGAAAATCGGACCTTCGGAACAGGGGTGGCCCACTTGGCAGATTTTGACTCATAACAAACATAAGTTTTAATAATATCAAATCCGCCTTTGCACTTAATAATTCTTTAATAATGAATCTCATAACTATTTTTGGTAAATTTTCTTCTTTATCACTTACCACTATTTTTAAGTTTGAGCACAATAACTTGACTACTTTTAATACGTTTTCTGAAAAATGATTCTCTTCACACTTTTGAATTGGTTATTTAAATTTATGAATACTGTTCAAGCTTCATCCCAATCTAAGGGAAATTTGGAAATATAAACGGATTCTGCCAGCTTTTCTGCACTTTTCACATCCCGTCGCGAAACGGCGAAACTTTTGATTCTGATACGTAGGCCTGCGAGAGCTCATCAACTGGGGCCAACACACGGCGGTGCTGTTCTGACTGGCCGAACGGCTGTGGGGCGACTTATCAGGCCAAGACGGGTATTATAAAACGAATTACTGATAAGAGAACGTCTATCTGATTTACACAAATGTGTATAACCATTGCGAGAGCCGAGCACCTGAACCTGTCCAAATTGTGTTTCTAAAACTGATGACTGCCCCGTTGAGCAGGTTATGTTTCTCCACTGGGCCCTCGAATCTAATCACCTTTCTCCACTATCACTGATAAGGGCTCTGTGGGTCATCATGCTAATCGGTGGGACAGCAAAACAAATGGTTAATTGGGTTTTAATGAAGCCGGGGCTGTTCTGCGTATAATATATGTGGGTGGTCGTAAAATTGTTTACATTTCGATTGCTGTCAGTTATATAAAATGAACTATTCTGATTGATATGGGGCCCCGGGGCGATTGCAGATGCAATTTCATCTTTATAGGGGCCATAAGCCAGTAGCCCAGCGAGCTTGTAGCTCGTAAGCCTCGCCACAGATAAGATAGACAACACGAGACGCTTGCATTCGGGATACAGATACAAATATTTTGGGGACTAGACAAAGCAAAGACCCGCGGCTAAACGTAAGTTATAACTCCAAGCTAAGCCCGATTAGAAAACGTTGAAATATGGCCATTTTGAGAACTCCCATTGCACTTGCACTTTGACGTTGGGATTTTATCTGGAATTCGTTTTCGTATTTTATACTTTTTCTCTTGTTTCTATTTGCTTATTAGATTAGACGAGCGATTATCTTGGTGCTCTGCTTGAGCTGCTGCCGCTTTTGACTGTCGACTGTGACTGGGACTGGGACTGAAACCAAGCCGAGAACACGTAGCTGGCAATGAGATAGAGTCCACTTGGCTCGGCTTGTGCAAATGCAATAATATCAATTTTCATATTTTCATATACTGGCCGAGCGAAAGACAAAAGCAATTTAACAATTTACTAAAGCACTTAAGCGCAAATTCAGTTCCCGGCCGCCCGACTAGACGCTGTAAAAACTGAGCCAGCGACGACTGTCACTCTATGAATAAACATCATCATCACCATCATCAGAAGCAGCAGCAGCCGGGCAGCAGAACCGGCACCAGATAGTATAGATCTGGGATAAGGAGTGGATCTGTAAATTTAATCAGAGCAGATTACGTCGGCGCTGCGCTAATCTATTGACTGACACCGACACCAAGTCGGTGCGGCCATCGGAGCGCGTCGGAGATTCAAGGGTTCCTGGTTCGGAGATCGTTTACGTTTCAGAAATGGGCCTGAGTTGGGCTTAGGTGAATCACTTGAGCTGCCGAGGTCATTCGCTAAATTCCAATTGCCTGGAACTTTGAGTGTCGTCCAAATTGCTTCTTAGAAGCATTGGGGCGGCTCCTTTGCCCGATCAAAAGCTGGATGGCACTTAAGTAGAGCTTTGCCCATCGAAAATTATGTGGGTTCAGAGCCAAGGGTATGGGAAAGTCAATGCCAATAAGAGTCAATGAAAGGTAATGACCAGGCATCACCTACTTGGCGATATAAATAGTTTCCCTTTGAATGGTAGAATGCAGCAATCCTATCCCACAATGTCTTCCCCCAATCCCAATAATAACGCACTCCGGTATTCTTTACTTTTTAGATATGTTCATTTTTATTTAAAGAATTTTACTTTGATTTATGCATAAACATGAATCATCGTTCTCCACTTTGTTTTGGTTTCCTTGAAAATTTCTTCTAAAATTTACTGAACTCTGAATACTTTACTTTGCGCTCTCGTTTTACTTTGTGTATTGGAATTTACTGGTTTTTTGTTTTGCAATTGTAATGTGTTGACTTAATGATCAATTTTGTGGCTCCTTGTTAGGTTAAACTTTAATATTGCTTATATATTCTGTCTTTAAATTACATCATTTTACAGTGATAATTAGAAAATGCTAGCACATGCTGTGTGGATGTGTTCATTTTGTGTTTGCTTCTCGCTTCGCCTCTAAATATATAAATATTCTTCTGTTGACTTTGTTACAATTTACAGTTGAAACACTTAAATGTAATTTGGATAGTTAAATTTAAAAAATGCCTATAATCCATTACTCCACATACCCTTGTAATATATCTGCCTTTAACCTTATCTTCGTCTGGCTGTAACACGTGCGATTTGTTGTTTGTTGTTTTCGTTTAAATTTGATTTAATTTATTTGCGATTAGTGTTAATTGAATTACAATACGAATATCGATATCTTATGTTCACAAAATATGTTCAGGTTTAATTACGTTCTGAGTAGAAGTCAAAGCGTTCTCCAAATAAACTCATTTACATTTAGTCAATTGCTATATTAGAATCATATGCTCTACGCTAGGTTATGCTATTCGTAAATATGTATTTTAATCAGTTTTAATTTTAATATGTTACTCGTAGTTCTTGTGCCGTGATAAATATTCATTCATTTATTTAACTAATTGCTGGAAACTGATTAAAAACATTTGCGCTGCCTGACTAATTTCATTGTCTGCTTTTGATTATCGCTAAATCGCTCATAGTGGATACGTTTTTATATCTTCTATAAGTGGCATAATAAATCTTAATTGGATCGCAATCCTATATATGTACACATGATCCGGACACGACTCGCTACGATTTCAAAATATTGCTTAGCGTACATTATTTTCTTGCGCGATTTGGCAATTTTCGGCATTGATTTTTACAAGTTTCTGACGGATTTCCCTTTACATTGTCCTTATACGAGATTAACAAATTAAAATTAGTTTTGAATGGCAGTTGGTGTTCTGTTCTTCTTATGTTTGTATTTTTCTTGTGTATAAATATTTCGTTTTGTTTGGTTGCTAAAATTGAATTGGTCTATTGCTTGCACTCAGGTTAGTGCCTTAAAATAGGAATCGACTTCTGTGTGTGTCTGTTATTAAAACGTTGGAAATGAATCTATATAATATGCAATTCAAGTTGGACGTTTCACAATATCACGTTGAGAAATATGCATACACAAAGCAATTGAACAGTAAACAAATGGCAAATGGCAATCATAAAAGTCTCAGTCAGTACATAGCTTGAGGCTAACTAAAAATAGTCAAAACATTTCAAACTTCAAACGCTTTTGTTATGTCACTAAGTATATAAAATTTCTCTTTTTCGGCAAATGTGTATATAAGTCTGTAAGGTCTGTATTTATATATAAGTGTTAAATATTTGTGTAAATGCCAACATTATCGGAGGAAGGATTGACTGACTCTGACTATCTCTGCTCACTATCTCGCTCACTTTCTCCCCCACTACGCATCACCACTATACCGCTCTCTCTTTCCCTAACTGTCTGTCTATCTCTCTCTATACATACTATACATTTGAACTGAAAGACGCGTGTTGGCCTTTTGTTTTCACTATCGAATCACAGCAATTGAAATACACTTAACTCAACGGGAGACTAAACTAAGAACTTGATGTAGTAAATGGGTTATTGATCCTCCAGTCTGTCGTCCTGGTCCTGCAGCAGCTGCACTCCCACACCGGAAGCTCCTGTTCCGCCGTTTCCGGCAGCGCTACTGCCCGTGTTCTTGCGCAGGTGATTGCGCAGCATCACCAGGTTCCGGTTCAGTGGCAGATTGCCGGCCAGACCGCCGCCGCTTGAGGAGCTCGGTGCATGTGGCAGCGTGTTGCAGATGTTGCCCAGCGGCGCCGAGTGGGCGGTGGGCGAGGTGGCCGACGTAGCCACTCCGTGGGGCGTCAGGGTTCCGGTGGTGCCATGGCCATGGCCCAGGCCAAGACCCAGGCCCATGCCCATGCCCGAGCCCACGCCCAGCAGCAGCTCGTGGGCCAGTATGGTGGGCAAATGTTAAGTGCTGCTCTTCAGCGGACCCGACGATAGCGAACTGCTGCTGACCCCCGAATCGCTCGACTTCTCGCTAAGCCCTCCACGCGTGAGCGTATCGTCCGCCATAAGGCCGTTGCCGCCGAGAAAGGACTTCTTGCCGAGTCGCCCGCCTCCCGGCAGCGTGACCTTGAACGGATTGTCCTTGCAGCGGCGGGCGCTCTCCACGCGCTTCATGATCTCGCTGGAGCACTTGGTCACCACGTCGTCCAGGCTGTTCGACTCGTCCGTCGAGTTCACCGCCTGCGTGGGCGTCTGTGAGCTGGGCAGCGGGGATCCCTCGTAGCAGCCGGAGTCGCGGGGAAAGTGCCGCCGGCCAAAGGGCGAGGCGCCGTGCTTGATGTTGATGTTGTTCAGGCGGGCCTCGTCGTTTTCGGAGCTGGAACCGGCTATATCCACATCGGAGCCTGTGCGGGCGAAATTTGTAGCTGTGAGTATGCGTCGTGTGTGTGGAGGGTGTGGTGTTTGGTATAAGGTGATAGTGGGTTAGGTTAGGCTTTATCAGTATTTGGTCTCTTTTAGCAATGAGTCATGGAAAAGGGCGAACGCTAAACAAAGTGTTTTTCAAACTCTTTTACAGAACCGCCTTTATGGCCATATAAAAGTTATCAGAAATCGTATTGCTCTGGGAGCCGATAAAGACCACATTGTAGTTCACTTGGGCCTAATAAAGTTTAGATTTAAATTGATCAATTTCACAATTCCTTAACAGATTACGCAAATATGAACTTTGTTTTCGAGCCAAGTTGTTTATAAAATTTAACTTTTATTTTACTTTTACGTTCGCCATGATTTCCATAAAATCAAATCATAAAATAGACCTTTTATTAGGAATTTGGAGCTTTTGGTGTTTGAACTTACATTCAATGTCATGCAGCAGCTGCACAGCCGTCAGAAGTTTGGCACGATGCTCCTGGTTGAGGATGCCCAGGTAGTCCAGGTCGGCGGGTTCCAGTTCCTTGAAGAGCTCCAGGTCCTCGTAGCTGCAAATGGAACGATAGGTGAAACAATCCAACAAAAAATATTGTTGGTAAATTTGTTTCATCTACACCACTTACCCGTTGAGCACGAACACCGAGGTGTACTCCTTGAGTCCGATGCGAATCAGCAGGTCCTCCACGGAGCAGGGTCCCCCGTTGTGGCTGCCATTGCCGGGATTGGCCAGCCGGGAGCCGGGGGCCAGGGTCTTGCTGCTCGAGTTCTTCATCCGCTGCTCCGGCAGCACCTCCACGTTGATGAACTTGAAGTGGCCCACGCGGCCGTGGCATCGTCCCTTCCAAATGCCCGAGGCGTTCATCGACAGCACATCAATGAGCTCGCCCTTCTGCAGATGGGATAATAATATTATTAGATTAGCATGCTTCGTGAAGTTCTTTGGAGTAATAATGAAGGCTTCTTAAAGGGCAAAAAAAGATTTTAAAAGGGATTTTAGAGATCGGACTCAAGAGATTTAATAGTTTTTAAAAAAATCCCTAAAAGCTTTTACACAGAAAAAAATTGACAAAAGATCAGATTGAAATGCAGGTTAATTAATTATTTTTTTAATATGAATATTTATTTGTTCAAAAAATACTGTATCTGACATTTAAAAACAGTATTTGTACAACTTTTATGAAATGATAAAATATCAAGTTGATATGTTTAAATTATAAACTTGACATTAATCTTATCGGCTTTTTTTCTGTGTAGTTATTTTAAATTACAACCAACTCACCTTGAATTTAAGCGCCTCCTTGTCGTAGGGATTGGGCAAACTATCCACGAGAGCCTTGGCCTTGCAGATGCAGCTGGCCATCGAGGTGCGATCCTCGGCCGAAATGGAGCTGTGCGGACTCCCGGGACGAACCAGGGCCTGGGTGCCTGCGGGGGTTGAAAGGAGGGAGATTGATAAATATTTGCCCTGCTTTTTCGGGCCAAAGTTTGTCCTGGCAAATTTCCAATTAATGCGCCCACAGCCAATTAGCCGCAGGACCCAAGGAATTTACTATGGACAAACAACCGGCCATGCACATGCACGAGCTCCCACTCATTCGTTTGGTTAATTAAAAACTTTTCAAATATTTTCACACACACCCACACACACTTGCTCTTGGCCCCGAAAGTATTCAAATATGCACTTGAAGTTTTCCATTATTTCTCTGGGCTGTTGTTTTCTTTGCGTTGCTTTTGTTTGGTTTGCCGGCCAAAGCTTTTGGCTAATCCTTGCTTTGTGTCCTGGCCACATGAAAAATAAAGTATTTTTCCTTGCACTTTTCAAAGTTGCTTCCCATTCACCCACCCATCCAGTTAAGCCCTCCGCCCCCTTCGGTGTTGCCTTTTATTTGGCCAAAAGTTTTGTTCATTAAAAAGGAAGCGGTTGCCCTTCATTTAACCACGCCCCAGACATTGCAATCTGGCCCCGCCCATCGCCCCCAAGAGGCCAAGAGAGCAAGCCGGCTGGCAGAGCAGCAAGTGCATTAAAAATTCATTAAGTTTGCAAAATTTGAAGGAGCAACAAAAAACCGCAACAAGAACTACAACTGTTAATAGACCAATATGCAAGGCAGTCTGGGAATTTTTCCATGGCCATCGGGAAGGAAAGGAGCATCTGTAGGAGCAGACAGCTTGGTGCAGCAGACAAAATCAAACCCGAAAACTCTAAATTGCCAGCTCAGACAAAAAGATACACAGCCCGGGAGATATACATACAAGCGAGCTCTGTACCCTGTATTCATATATCCTTATATCCCTTCTTCGCATACTTACTCGAACCGGAAGCGCTGGGCAAACTTTCCACCGAGCTGGCCGAACAGGCGAACGCCTGATCGCTCATGCTGCCACGGTCGGTATTATCTTGGGAATTGCTAAAATCCCTCGACGTATCCTTTGTGGCAACAAAGTTTCGTCCATTCTCATTAAATGCGCCAATTTCCTTTGCCGAGCTACGCATCTCGCCCGACTAGAAAGGCAATCCAATCCAGACCGAACCATACCAAACCAAACCAATCCCCAAGACCAGCCGGAGTGAAAGTTATCCGTATTTTTTCCATGTGTTTGGGGTTGCGTCGTCGTCGTCGTCGTCATCGTTGTGCAATAAATTGCATGTTGAAGGGGAGCACCAGAAACAGAACAAGAACAGCAGGAAAGTTTTGTTAGTTAAATCATTAAAAAGTTTAAAGCGAACATACCAATACGTCAAGGGAAGGAACGGAGGATGGAGCATGAAACTTGGCTTTGTATACACCGAAAATAAATATTATTACTTTAATAAACTGTTACTTGTAATATAAATGGCTAAAATCAGGACTTGACAGAATTTACAGGAATTCACAGAGGTGAAAACCCTATACAAAAACCCTTTTTATGAAATTTAAGTTTATACATGAGTTGAGTTTATACATCTATCTATGCCTATATAATAACTAATATATGTATATTATTTTACTTTATCCAAATTAAATGGTTAGATACAGAAATAAACACCAGAATGTATAAGATTCAACTATTAAAACCTTAATCTAATTTATTTTCTTTTCTGATATAAGTCAAATTACGTTAGGATTATTTTTTCAGCACTCTTAACTATTATTATTTCGTGAAAATATTTCTCTGTGTTGCCTATTTAGGCTTTAGGCACTGACTGCACTAGTTTGGCTTTGCCTTAAGCTCTCTAGCCGGACACTAAAAACTTTGCTCATATTTTTTGGCAGGCCTCGACTCGCATCGAAAGTTTTTCGAGATGAACTTTCACTTTTACGAGCCCGCCAAACACAGTGCAAGCGGCCATAAAAACTCATTAAACTGGCATTTGCATTTAGAGTGCATGTCGCGCCAAAGCCAAAGAGTTTGCGGTCCAGGCCATTATGAGGCTTTAGCTTTGGGTTTAGGTTTAGCTTTCGGTTGAAGCCATTGCATATGCAGGCCCCCCAAGTGGCTAATTACATTTTGCAGGCCACATAATGTGTCAACAAAATGTCCGTGGCTGCATCTCCGATGCACTTGACATCCTCATTTCCATCCCCTTGCTAATCCTCCACTTGGCATTAGCGTTTAATTAACTTACATGATGCACCGTGGCCTTTTGGCAAATGGTGTTCGCCTTGCCGTGCGGCAGTCCGTTCTTTTTGGCCTTCGCGGCCAGCAGGCTGGGCGGCAGGCATCCGTGGCCCCTGGTCACTCCGATGTCCTCGTAATCCGACGAAGGACTGGGCGACAGCGATGGCGATTCCCCAATTCCGCCGCTTAGGGTTCTGTACCGCGCCGTGCAGTTGTTGGTGCCAATCTGTAGAAAAAAGGGGGAAAAACGGGGGCGGGAGAAAAGCGGATTGAGTGCGTTTCCATATTAGCCAAGTTAGGGCAAGTCAACTTTGCAAATGAAATGGTCGCTGGCCCCCAAACCCAATCCCAATCTCAAATCCAAACCAATAGCATTTGCCGTTCGTATTCCGACAACGTTTAGCTGGCTTAAGTGCCAACTCCGGCTCCGGGAAAACAAGGAAAAAATACTAAAACCGGACGGCAGGGGTAGAAACGGGGAAAAACTTGGCTAAAAAGCTTTTCAAGTTTGTGTGCGTTCGCCCGCTCGTTTTTATTTCCCTCTATCTACGTGCATTCCGGCTATCGTCCATTTTCGACCAGACGACATTGGCCAAATGCGAAGTTTGTTTGTCACAAAGAGCACTTAATCAATTTAGACGCATTCAGATGCAGTCGCAAAGCGAAGTTGTAGTTGAGTTTGGGTTTGGAGTCGGAGGAGCGACCAATGCAGCAAGTTAAATGAGCCCGATCCAAGGGGAACTTGGATTCTGTACTCACCGACACCGCACTGAGTCTGGAGGTAACGCTTTGAAGGTCTGAGATGGAGCCCGCGTAGTCGCCGCTTTCGCGATCATGAGATCTGCAAAAGAATTTAAAATATAACATTATATATATCATAAACATTTCAATACAATCTAAAACTCCAAACAAAAACCATTGACTTTTTAACTTCTATTTATCCTTGAATTCTTAAAACTCGCATAAAGCTTCAGTGGGATTATCATTCCCACTTTAAACACAAATTGAATCTCTCTCAAATAATACCTCCTATCCATTTCACTTTTCATTTTTCCTACACAAAGAAATCTCCTTTCGTTGGTGGTCTCAAAAATTGCCCCTTATAATGGCCAAAAATAACTTTAAAATCGAAAACGGCAAACATTTTGATGGCAAACAATAAGCGACGAAGGAAATGAAGGTGTCGTCGGGCTGAGAGAGGTTGAGATATACACGACCCGAGGTCGAGTGGCAAACAAAGGTCATATAAATAAATACTTGATATCTTTTTCTTATTTTTTCTTCTTGCCAGTTTTTTCTTTTGCCACATTTTGTTGAGATTTTCACTTTTGGTTGCCTTTGCTGTTTGTTTTCCACCTTCGTTTGGCCCATTCTCTCGGCTGGCTTTCCCTCGCATTTCGTGAGAAGAAAAAAGTTTTCTTTTCGTTTGGCTCGTTTGTGGCCCCAGCGGCGCACGAGGCGTATAAGTTATTTCAGCAAGTCCTTTTGTATGCGTACGTGTGGAAAACGCAGGGTCTCGTTCTCCATTCCGTACCTTTCTCCCTGGATTTTTCCCTTCTTCTTTTTTCTCTCGAACCCATCCTGGCTGTCTACCTAGCTGGCTGATTGAGGAGCTGACTTCTGGATTGGCGTTGAAGTAGCAATAATGCCATTTCATTCAAGTGTCCCGGCCTGTCGCTGTCTTGCTCTTATTGCTTTCGGATTCAGGACTCAGGACTGAGGAACAAGTATCCGGAATCCTGGATCCCGGATCCAGAATCCATACGTATATATATCGAGAGTGTGGCATGCGTAACAATATGAAATTGATGACTTTCGCTCCGATGCGTTTCGATATGTGTGCCGTCTGCCAGTCAAGCTGGTTCCCCATTCCTCACTCACCCACTCACTCACTCAGTCAGTCACTAATTCCCTCATTCAAGCCCCCATTCATTCATTCGCTCATTCAATCGCCAGGCTGCAGACCGTTGATAACCGCACTAATGAAGTGAAGTCTACCCTTTTTCACCAATTTTTTCCCTGTCTGTCTGACTTTGAGGGTTCGAGGGGGTTGCACCTTTTCCAATTGACAAATAAATACGAGATGCCAGACTTGAGCTGTTTGATTGCTTTCGCCTTGGTCAGCTATTAGTGTTTGCTGGTCGAAAGGCTTGGCCTTTTCACGCCAGACTGGGCTCGTTTGTGGCACAGTTTTATGGTTCAATGATCCTTTGAAGTGCGGAAAAGGGTTCGAGTTTGGCTTTAGGTTTGGGTTCGAGTCGAGTTCGACAATTGTATTTGCCATATCATAACTGCCCACTCTAGGGGCATCGTTTTATTTATTAATGCGCCACCTTCACATCGTGTCGGCCCTTTGGCCTTAAACTCAACTGCAAATAATAATGGCAATCAACAACCGGCTACTGCCCCACCCACACCCCTATTTGAGGCACAAACTTCCTGCCCCGCGGGCCGAAACTCACCTGGCGTGCGTCAAGGGTATTATTGTCGGTGGATTTGGCGGCTGCTGCGGCACGATAAGACCTCTGCGCGGCGGTCCACGTTGCGGCAATGAAATATCTCCGGCGGATCTTAATGAAATTACGCCCGTGCTCTCGCGGTTGTTCGAGAAGCGCACACGGCCACCCTGGAAAAAAAGCGGAGAGGAAAACGGTGAGTGAGGGGCATACATACACTGGGGGGAAAAACGCCATCTAAAATCGAGAAATAAAATAGTTGATTGAGAAATTAGCATCTAAAATAGCTGGTAGTAAAATAATATGGGATACATTAAAACTAGATAGCTTCTAACTAAAATAAAAAATATAAATTTTATATTTAAAAAAAGACTGCAAATTAAAATTTCTTTTAATGGTTCATCAAAATATTTGCTTATTTTTCTTAATATTTATTTTACATTATTTTCTTCAGTGCACTTATTCGTTGAAGGAGAGGGAGATAGAGTGCGCACAACATGGGGATTAGCATTCAAGTAGAATTTGTTGGCCGCTGTAGAGCAACAAAATTATGAAAAATTAACAAAGTTATAAAACTTTATGAGGCCGTGAGAGGAGAAGAGGCAGTTTATTTGCTGTTGCGGCTGCCCTGGCTCCACTGTACTTTTACATGTTGTTGCTTTTGTTGCACTGATTTGCTGTGGCTGCCGGTTTCAGCTTGGAATTTTAAATTTAGTGAACACAAATTTGGTTTTCTTTTCTCGCTTTTTTTGTTTTTTGCGTATTTTTGTTTGGCAACGAAAATTGCAAAGTTTTCTCTGGTTTTTAATTTAGGCAATGCAGCAAAGTTTTGGGTGCTCGGGGAGTGTGGAAAAACCTCCAATCTGAATTTGGATTTTTTGAACCTTTTGGGTTTGTTTAATCCGAAATATTCTCGGTATGCACAGTCGGCAGGAATCGGTTTGACATAGGAGCCCATATCATGTTTCTCTGATCAAAGGCGCTGGACCCCCACCAACAATTCCATTTCAATGCATTATCTCCGGCTACTTCGGTCCGTTAAGCAGCCACAAACGCGAGCTTAACCTTTTTCGGGAACCGGGAACCGCAAAAGTTTCATTTCAATTTTAAACAAATTTCGTGGCCACATCAAAGCGGCCCAAGCCGAAAGAGGCCCGCACAAAAGGCCCCCGAGAGCTGGGGCCGCTTCGAACGCTTCAGCGCTGAGTGATTTCAATTGACTAAGAAAACAAATTCCCCCGATAACTTGCCTAATGCGTTCCGACAAAAGCGCAACTCCCGGCGACGCAGGCAAAAAAAGTACAAGGGGCAAAGAAAATTATGCAAAAGGAAAAGTCTCAAGACGGCGACGTCTTTCGCAGAGTTTTCCATCGGCATCGCTCCTCCTCCACTGCCCCTTAGGATCAATCCACAATCAGACCGAGAGAGTCAAAGTCGAGCAAGTCAACAAGAATTATGCACTTTTTGACTGTCAATAAAAATAAAGTGAGTTCGAGTCGCAGTTTGTCCTGGAGTTATGCACACAGCAAAGGAACGACGACGAAATGCCAAAGGACATGGACATACAAATCGAAGTGGGTAGAAATCAATGCGCCAGCACAAAAATATATTCAGCGTATAATTTAATAAAGCAAATAGAAGAAAGCCACAAAGCGAAAATCGCTGAAGAAAACCAAACTCGATGGGGGCAAAAATAAAAAAATGTCTAGAAGCGGAAACTCCCTCACAACTTTTGTGGCTGGCAAATTCCACAGAGAAATCAAAGCGGGTTGCAGTTGAAATTGGTATGGAAGCTGGTATTGGATTGGGTTTGGCCCTCGGCCCGAAGGATTGCGCCCAGTAACCAGGATTAACGGCGTCACAGGATGCGGCGCATAAATTTCAAATGTGATTCCAACTGCGACAATGTTGCCGCTGCCAATTTTTAACCAGAAAACGAGTCAAGCCGCATTGAACAAGCCACCAAAAATGTATAAAATTGCTGTAAAAATATAAAACTCAGAATTTGATTTACTTCTAACTTTTTCAAAAATATCATAGGCCAATTATTAAAATAAGCAAACAAAATGAATAGGTACTTAATATTCAATAATTTAGCAAAGTCTTATTCTTAAAAAAAAATTATTAAATGACGTTTATTATATAAGTACAATTTTTCTTTAAATTTGCAAACATTTTTTTATACTTAAAGAAAGGTAAAAGGATGAATCTTACCTGAATAGTGGCAGCTGGTCCGCAGTTGAGCCCGGCCATGAGAAAGTCATCGGGATCGCTCTCGTAGGGCGGCTCGTCGTACCAATGACCTTGATGATGCAGCGCACTCACCGCATAATGGGCCGCTCCTCCGTTTCCTCCGTTGCCGGCCAGTCCGAGGGGCATGCCCAGTCCGGCGATTCCCAGACCGCCGCCCGTCCTCAACGCCTCGTCGTACATGTACGTATCGTCTACAAGGAGAATAAGCCGAGTTTAGCAGCCGCAAGTAAGGCTTACACTCATAGAAATTTTTACCCTAAATCGCCCTAAAAAACTGACTTTTCGCCCGTGGATTTAGAAAATCGCCCATAAATCGTATCCGCTGGCGATTCGCCCGTGTATTTAGAAAAATTTTCTAAAAAATCCCGATGGAAATTTGGTTTAATTTAGGGTGATTTTTCTTGAAATAAGAAATATTTTCCTGTTTTTAGGGTGATTTGCCCTAATTTTAAGGTGTATTTTTCTAAAATTAAGGGCGAATTTTCTGTTTTTATAGGCAAATGCCCTAAAAATTAGACAAATTAAAAAAAATCGTGTTTGAGCATGCTTAACTGAATTTGGGAAGCATGTTTTTTTTTAATCGTCTATATTCTGGGAACTGGGACTGCTTTAATTAAACAACACCGGCGGAGGACACCGTTTCATATTATTGTATTGGTGTGTAGTTTATATGGGAGCCGGGTTAAGAGGGGAGCCCGATCTATACAGCACAGCCGTTAGAACTGAAAAATCATGTTTGTAAATGAATTAGGGAAATAAATATGAGGAGAAAAAACAACTTACTTTTTTTGGCCATGGCGAGAATCGAACCCACGACATCTCGGTTTAGAGTCTAACGTCCTACCGCTGCACCACAGACCCATCGCGCAAGACGACGAACAAACTCTGCACACATCTTATTTTCTTGAGGTCTACGTTATAATATGACTAAAGGCAACTAAACCGTATATTTTTTTCCTGACGACTGTGACAATTAGTCCCGTTTTCTTGCCCGCAAACACAAAGTATGCTTTTAATTCAGAACTCCCATACGTTTTTAAGGTTTAAAGACTACTTTAATTTAAAATTCGGACGAAAAAATGTCCTCAGTATTATAATGTTTACAAAAAAAAAAAAAAAACATAAAAATCAAGTTGAATCACACAGGGTTCGAACCCACAACCCCACGACCTTAGTCCTCATATAGCAAAGTTGAAAGCGCAAGTGATTAGACCGCTGGGCTACCGAATTTCACACTTTTGGAGTGATTTTTAAGGCGAATCGCCCTTGTATTTAGAAAAATTTTAGAAAAAAAATTAGGGCAATTCGCCGTTGGATTTAGAAAAGGTCAAAACGAAGCAAATCGAAAAAAATCGCCCTAAATATTAGAAAAATAGAAAAATTAACCCTAAAAATATTTTTTTATGGTCACCTGCCTTAAATTTATGGCAAATTTGTCGTGAAAATAGAAAATTTTTCTCAGTTCAAAGGCGAAAAATTTTTTAGGGCGATTTTCTAAAATGTAGAAAATTATTTTTATGAGTGTACGATTAGTTCCGAGAGAACAAAAAAGAAAAAACCCAGAGGAAGGAGGAGGAACTTTAAAAACTTTTTTACGAGCAGCCGAAAAATGTGCAGAGCCAGCAGAATGGCTGCAACACAATATTATTATACGCCACGTTGCACACAAAACTTGCAATGCCATTTGCCACATGCGAGCAGAGCAGAGCAAGTTGCTCCGGAGGAGCCTGAAGTCCGGGGCTTATGTGCGGATTCTGGTCCGGAAACGGACATAAGATTTTATGCTCGCTTATGCATGTGACGCTCGCCAGACCGGCCACGCCCCCTTTTTGAGGCAGTTGCAAGTTGCAACAGAAGCACTTCAAGTGTGAAATTCCTGGCTGCATACTTTTTGGGGCACTCGCCTAGATTTTCCTCTCTTCCACTAGTTTTTCTTTATCCTTCCTTTGTGCTCTTTTTACTTACCCATGCGTCCTTCGCCGCGACTCATTTGCAACAGTCCCTGTCGAATGTCACGCAGGATCTGTTAAAGATAAAACAATGTTGCATTAGTTTTTAGGGAGTAATTTTAAGGGTTTCTTAAAGTATGCAAAAGTATTGGGAATTAATATAATGTTGCATACTTTTAGACACCTTTGAGATTATTTTTATAGAACTTTGTTGAAAACAGTAATTTATTGGTTTTTTATTCATTTCAAATAACTTATTTCAATCAAGCACTGGGGTAACTCTATATTTGGTCTACGCTTTGCCAACTTTTTGTCACCCTCTGCCAGACTATATAACTAAATAAAACTTGTCCATATTAAAGTCAACGCCTTAGCCGGGGGTTCTCAAATTCGCATTCGCATTCGTATTCGTATGCATGTTTGCCCGTATTTGGGCAGCACTTTGTCTGCATGCCAAACGTGACTGCTGTGCGAAATGAAAGGACGAAATGTTGTCAACTTTCGGGCTGGCTTCCTTGTACTTCCACAGCTACAGCAACAGCTACAGCTGGCATCTTATTAGCCAAGTCTGTTCAGTCTCAGCCTTCGAGTCTCGGGCAAAGGCAAAGGCGTTAAAATTACAAAATTCCATTTGAAAACTAAAACAATTTTGCCAGCGCAAGCAGAACGAGCTACTACTACTACTACTACTAGAATGTGCTACTTGTTCCTATTTTTCTGTTTTTGGGCACGGCATGTCCTGAGTGTCCTGCAGCATAATGGCATTCTATGTGCGCTGCATACTAATTCCGAGAGCATATATGAAAATGTTTCTGCTATGCTGCCGAATAGCGAAAAGCATGCCAGGGCCAACAAGCTGGGAAACAGAAATAGAGAACACAGCAAGCAATAAAAGCGGGGCGCTGAAAAATTAGCTAAAAGCTTTTTTGGCCAGTCGCATTAAAAATGCATTCAAATGGCACTGAGATAGGGGATGTTATATGCTCCACTCCCACACAATTGGTTAGATCTTTCCGTTGCCAAATTGAAATTTACGTGGCCAAAAGAAGACACTGGCACTTTTCTTACAATTCTAATCACATCTGAGGTCTAGAGTCTGGGGGCCGCCTGCTTAATTGCCTGGCCAAATGCAAAGACCCCAGAAAAAAACCAAAAAAGAATTTCTAGCCCACTCCCATCATAAATATTTCATGTTGCTCGGTACACACACACACAGCTTTTTCAGCTTTTCCTGGCCAAATGGAAAACAAGGCCTGAACAGCAGCCTCCTTTCCATGTGGGGGCTGCAAAAACAGCAATTACAATTAGACAAACAGAATGTTGTTTGCACAAGTTAAGCAGCAGCAGTAGCATCAGCACTAACAACAATAACAATGTGACACCCAGGCCCCTCAAAGCCCCTGAAAGCCCACCACCCTATAAAAGCCCCGCCCACCGAACTATGTAGTATTCCCGTATATATCGTCGTACCCCCAACCCTTGTGTGCTTTTCATTTATGCACAAAAATTATTGCCCTTGCTTAGGAGCACACATTTTCCCGGACTGGCAAACAGTCGACAAATTGTCGTGCAGCAACGCAATTTGTGCGAGTGCACCGAGAAAAAATCCTAATATTTAAGAGATAAAATCTTCTTCCACTTAAAGTAAAATAATAACTTAGTTATAATAATATTATTTAAATCTGTTGATTAGCATATCATTTCTAAGTTCTATTATTTAAGACATTAAATCTTCTTCGAATAAGAGTTAATTATTATCTGAACATAATAACATAATTATTATTAAACTATTTCATTTTTGTTTAGCTCATAATTTAAATTTTTTTCCTGTGTAACTCTGTTCTGCGTATATAAGTTCGCATCAGTATGCTGCGCATCCATCATTGAGCCTGATAACTGGCATAATTAACTATGCCTGCTGCTGCCAAGTTGATTGAAGATGTCGAGTGCTCTGTGGCAGTAATGATTTCCTTAATCGATTTCGGTTTTAAGCCCTGCAAAAATCTCAGCTCTCTACGGGGGCTTATAGTATCAATCAGCCTCGAGGTATCAAGCAATCAACATGAAATATTTTGCTCGGCTTTCGCATTTAATTCTCTCGGCATACAAATAAATAAATAAGTTAGTCTCTTTCAGCGACACGCCCATTCGTTTTTATCATGTCCTTCGTTTGGACAACGTTTTCAAGTGTGGAAAGTACACTTTTTATGACAGACCAAAGTTTATCATTCGCCACGTTGCACTTCATTGTTTTTGTTGGCTCGTTTTGGGCTGAGTTGCTGTTGGTGTTGGTGAGTATCTGTGTGCTTAACATTTTGTCTGCCTCTGTTTTGCATGTTTGCTCGCCACTCACACTCACCATCCCATCGCACACACATTTATTTGGCAGCTCGAGCTTTTGGCCTGGTCTTCTCTTCGGGCTTTTATGCCTTGGAATAATTGCTGTTTTTATATCAAATATTTTTAATAGCTTTTTTAATTGGCTTGTGCATGTAGGAGTCGTAGCATTTATATATTGCAAAAACAAATACGAGTGCAAACAGTGCGTGTCGCAACTATAAGTTGCTTGCATTTATGTTTCGCAATTAGGCCAAATTTTATGAATGGATTTCCGCACAAGTTCAAAAAAGAAAAATAACAGTTTATGGCGGCTTTGGCCTGCACGTTGTAGGATTGCTTGTCTTTTGGCTAAGATTGCTTTCGGCCCAAAAGTAGGCAACAGAGTTTGGTCTACATGGTTTAGTAGAAAATATAGTCTCTTGAGCCAGAACTCCCAAAACTTCACCAAATTGGTGAGTAGGCTTGAGCTACAGGTCGGACTCAGGGTCCCGACCCGAAGTCAATTTCGTTTGGAGTCACACCAAAATTACCAGTGGATCGAAGAAGAAGTTAGTTGCAAGTGCAAAGATCAAAGTTACACAAATTAAAGGAAATCCAAAATTTCCAAAATTCCCGGCAATCGCCGTTACAAGTGGCTTAAAAACCAAAAAAAAAACACAAGTGCTAAAGTGCCAACCCCTAGTGGGTAAGTTTTTTTGAGTGCGAGAAGTTGATAAAGTGGTGTTTGAACGCCCTAATGTTTTTAGGTGGCACCTAATTACATAACCCCGGTCCGCCAAAAGCCAGGCTTGGGCGTATGAGGCGTCTGCAGAACGAAAGGCCAACCGGAAGCAATCTCAAAATCGCAAAAGGCCAACCGATCAATCAGCACCAGCAGCAGCAGCAGAATCCGAGATCCCTCAGCAGCAACCAAAGCGCCGAGAATTTGATATTTATATTTATATTATCTACATATTTATTCTACTTTCTACATCTACGTTTATATGTTGTAGAATAGCCCAGTAGCCAGCGAAATTTAGGCTAGGGTCCATTTACCGGCAATACCGTCCGTAAGCCGTAGGGAAATATAGCCCAAGAAAAAAAAAATGAATTAATCAACCCCTCAAATACAAAATCATTTCGAATTACATTTAAAACTTAAAGTTTCGAATTTTACGCGTCATTATACGCAACTAGAAGCAGATTGAAGCTGAATTTTAGTTTAAGTAATTTAAGAGAATAGTTATAATCAAGAGAGTAGGTCAATAACAGGGAAAATATGCATTAGAGCTGAGCAGTCCCGTCTTCCCATGTACGTTTCCCTTCCCTCTCCCATACCTTAACGGCAGAGTACCGTACCGCTGTAGAGTACGAGTAAGGCGAATGAGAGTAACGCTAGCGATCTCTTATGTAGTTGAGGTTCTCTTTCACAGGCCCCCTTCGAGAAGCGCTTCATCGTGGGAAAACAAAGTGAGTCGATTTAATGTCATAAGAATCTCAACTACCTTTTTTAAATAAATCAAAAGTCTAAAGAGAAAATTTAACTTGTTGCAAAATTAAAAATTCACCCCTTACTAAATGCCGTAATAAAAAAAAAAAAAAAGAAATTAAAGAAACTACAAACTCCAAAAAAATGTCCTCCCCATAAAGCCCAAACCACAACTCCCTGCTCAATAATATAAAGTTTTAAGCCACACATATAATGCCATAATTTTACATACCTACACCCATTATACCCGCTCTCTACATTTGTATTATTTCATGTAAAAGCTAGATGTTATATACATGAGCACTGAAATATTCAGCGATCGCTAAATTTAATTTTTATTCATTAAATTCGCATTTTTAAGTTCAATCTATATGTTAATCACTTCTTAGGATCCTAATGCTCTTGTTTAGAATTAATTTTTGTCAGTTAATAGGATTATTCTATGTTTAAAAATAAAATTTATAATGTTCACTGAAGTTGAGTAGAGTCAATAGGGAAGCCATGCGTCGTCGAATGTTATCTGTCGTGTAAAGTGTAGTCGCCTTTTAGGGATCGCCATAAATATACCTGGTCGATGGTGATCATGGTAGGGAGGGCACGTCAGCACAAACAACCGCTGGCATAAAGGCACTACATCCTTGTTCGTCCTTGTCTGTCCTTTGCTAGTCAATAGTCCAGTTTAGTCCTCGGAGATTCTTCTTTAAGCACGCGAATTAATAAGGATTTATTGTAAAGAGCAAGTAGCAGCGTTCCTAAAACCTATCCCCGACCCCCCTCTACTGGTAACTCATGCCGGAACCAGCGCGTGCTCAACGTAGGCTACAAATTACACCAGCTCTCGAAACGTAGTTCGCTACAGTATTCTAATATATAACAATAAAATTATTTGGCGCCCAAACGTGTGTGGCCCGATTCTGTCATGGCGACAGTTCGATCCGGCAAGGCCAGATCCATTAAAAAAATATTTAAAACCGTCAGTAACATCAGACGTTAGTCAAGAGAATCTCCACAGCATTCATCCTCTAGATTAGGTGCGGCGAGGAGTGATTTACGGATCAAAACTCCTTGCATACTATTAGGCTGCTGGAAAAGTTTTAGCTATTTAGCTTTAACGCCGCTACCTAATTAAACTTACGCATAGGGCGTTGTTTATTGGCTTAATAAATTTGCCATCCCGTCTTTTAGCGTGGGAAGTATTAATTGTTTTGTTGTACTGAAGTCTTATATGGAATTGTACAGAACACTTGTGGCCGGTTGCCTGGTGTA